TGTTGTTGTTCTCAAGAGCTGTGAGTTCTGCATTCATAGCATCTATCCATTTTCGATTATTCCTAGCCTGATTATATGTTACAGGTTCTTTGATCATAGACAAATTTGCCAAAAAAGAATCATGAGAAGGACTAAAGGAACACTGGAAAGAAGATGGATGTATAATAGCATCCAAACACTCAGGGGAATGACTGGAGCACTTAGGGAAATGAGATGAACACTCAGGAGAGTGACAGAAACTGACCAGTTCAAAGTCATTGAATTTAGAAGGTAAATGATGAACTCTAGTACTCATTCTGAGTGGTGGAGGAGATGAAGGAGGAAGTGATACGGAAATAGGAAGAGGAGAAGGATGAGATGAAACAGGAGAAGAAGGGCAAGAAGAATGAGATGGGGTATTATTTAAAGGTGAAGATATAGGACAAGAATGATCAGTTAAAATATGATTGGAGGAAGAAGAAACAGGATCATGAAGATCTTCATCAGTGATGGCAGGAATGGCTGTAGGAAAAACAGGTGTAGTATGATTAGAAGAAGAAGATGGAAACACATTTTCATGAAAGATAACATCTCTGGAAATAATGATTTTCCTGAAAATTGGTATATAGATTTTGTAGTCTTTTTGATGAGAGGGATAACCCACAAAGATGCCTCTATGAGATCTAGAATCAAATTTATCTTGATGAGGAGTTGTGTCAACAGCAAAGGCTAGACTACCAAAAACCCTGAGATGATCATATGTGGGTGGCTTTTGATAAAGAATTTCAAATGGCGTTTTCCATTTCAAAACAACAGAAGGAGTGATGTTGATAAGATGAGTGGCAGTAAGAATTGCTTCCCCCCAAAACCGTTTAGACAATTGTGACTCAATAAGAAGAGATCGAGCCACTTGCAAAAGGTGACGATGCTTTCTTTCAACAATACCGTTTTTGTTGAGGTGTATAAGGGCAGGTTGTTTGATGAACAATACCATGTTTAGTAAACAAATCCTGGCATAATGAATTGGTAAATTATGTGCCATTGTCACTGCGGATGGTTTGGATTGAAGCATGAAATTGATTCTGAGTGTAAGCAATGAAATTTGCAAGTAACTGAACCACCTGAGTCTTGTATTTAAACAGAAAATTCCAAGTGCAACGACTATAATCGTCTACAATAGTAAGGAAAAACTGACAGCCATTTGTAGATGATTGTTTGTAAGGACCCCATACATCAATGTGTATCAAAGAAAAAACTCTATCAGTTTGAATGGTGCTAAGAGGAAAAGGATCTCGATGTTGCTTGGACATAGGACAAGTCTCGCATAAGCTAACATCAGATGATGAAGATTGTAAATCAATACAAGAAGATAGGTGTTTCATTACATTTAAAGATGGATGGCCTAATCTAGAATGCCATTGATGCACAGATGATACAATCAAGGCTTTATTATTAGGCTGTGTAGCAGAACTGTTACTATGGAATCTTCTTGATGACAACACATAAGAAGCATAAAGAGCTTGAGATTTCTGAATGGCTTCTAAAGTGAAGGATGATTTATCAAGAGCATACAACCCATTGATCACTCTACCAGCTGCTAAGACCTTAAAAGTGCGAAGGTCCTGCAACAGACAAAACTCATCAAAGAATTGAAAGAACATATGAGAATCTTTGGCTAATTTTCTGACTGACAACAGATTGTATTTGAACTTTGGAAGATGTAAACAAGATTTCAAGGTCACAGAATCAGACAAAACAGCATCTCCAATGTGAGATATTGATTGAATACTCCCATCAGGCAAACAGACAGGAGTATAGGCTTGAACTTTTTGAGGATCAGTTAACAGTTTTAGAAAGGCATTCATGTGACCTGTGGCACCAGTGTCTATGAACCAAAGAAGAAAAACATACAATCAACCTTAGAAAGTAATCGAGGTGAGACAGAGCTACCTGCAAAATCCTGAATGTGTGCAAAGTTGACTGAAGAAGCTCCATCAGCTATTCCTTTTCCTTTAATCATCCTGCTCAGCTCTTTCTGAACTGCATTTGCAATGGCTTCTTCCTATCCTGATTCATGAGTTTCATCAAGAGGAGTCTCAACAATATTTGCAGTTGCTGTTCCGGTAGAGGATTTCTTGTTGGCTTCCCGCTTTGGTGGAAAACCATTCAGCTTAAAACACTTTGCCTTGATGTGACCATCTCTGTGACAGTAAGAGCAATTTATAAGAGCCTGCTGAGTCTGCTGAGTTTGTTGCGTGGGATAACCAATCAATTTGAAACATCTTTCTTTGATGTGCCCGGTCCTCTTGCAGTAATTACAGAACAATTGTGCCTTATCAGTGTTAACAGCAGCCTTTGAATCATCATTCTTCTTCCAAGTTCCTCCATCTTTGGCAATCATAGCAACATTTTCTGAGTTAGCAGCAACATGAACACTGACCTGACGATTCTTTTCTGCTTTGAGAATCATCGAATAAGCTCTATTAACATTCGGAACTGGATCCATCATCCGGATTTGATTCTTTTCAGCATCAAACACATCACTCAGTCCCATAAGAAACTCCATTGTTTTGTCCTCAGTAACTCTTTCATCAATCAGAATAGCAACAACAGCTAATGTATCTTTAACTCCCAAAACATACTGATCATTCTTCTCTGGACAAATCAACGAATTCACATCACGTCCACAATTAAGATCTGGACGCAACTGTTCTAGTTGATCTCTCAACTGCTTAAGCTTGCCATAATACTGAGTAATTGAGAGAGTTTCCTGTTTAATCACAGCTATTTCTCGTTTGATTTGAAACAATAAAGACAAATTAGCTTAACCATATCTTTCTGCTATTTCATGCCACAGATCACTTGCATTCCTGATATACATGAACTGATTCACAAGATCTTCAGAAATAGAGCTTAGAATCCATGAAACAACCATATTGTTCACCTTTTTCCACTTACAATAGTAAGGAGATGTAACATCAGGTACAGGACAGCTACCGTCAACGAAACCGAGTTTACTCTTTGCCTCCAGAGCTGTTTCCATCGCCGTCTTCCATAGCAGAAAATTGAGATCAGTAAGAGGTGCAGAAACGAGCTTCATGCCTGGATGATCTGAGCCATGGAGAAGAAGCTGCTCCTCAAATTCCTCAGCAGCAATGTTTTGTTCATCAGTGATCGCCATTTCCAAAAGAAACTGCGAACAAATTTACTTTTGCGAAAGCAAAAAACAGAGAATTAAAGGCAAGAAAATAACGAATTTAGAGTTCTAGATATCAGGATCAGGCTTAGACAGCTCTGATACCATCTAGAAACTCATGAATTAAAGACATATTAATCAAGGGAAGAAGAAGAAATGAAGAACCCTAACTTTGTGATTTGGAAATTGCTTTGATATTTTTGAAAGAACAAAAGAAGTGAGAAAAGTGTTTTTGGATTGCAATTACCAGCATATACAGTGTCTTATTTATAGATAAATACACCTCCTGAGTTTTGCTAAAATGACTGTATAAAGAATCTAACTAAACTAGCTAATTCTGTTATGTATCCATGCGATTATCGGATCAAAAGTCACAGCTTGATGACTTTAGCTCAGCCGAAACAATCTAGGTACAGTCTGGATCCTTCTGGCGTGGAGGCTACTCTAAGGTGGTCTGATCTGGTGTGATGCTGTTCTGGAACCAACGCCATGTTCCGGCGGATGATGCTTAGGAACCACAGAATCCTTCTGAGATTCTTGAGGCTGAGACGGCGTCGTACTCACCTGAGTGAAAATCGTATTCTCCTGAGTGGAATATTTCATCACTCATAAAGGTAAGGTTGAATTATGAATGGTTATGATTCATTCCATGTATATTTTACTTGCAACAATTATTACTCTTTTTAAAAATAACATAAAAACCACCGAACAAAATCCTTAACTATGCAGTTCAAATTAGGAATCTCAACTCGAATGAGCCGGTACAACAATTTTAAGCATGATGAGATTATAGGCATTACACACAGCGAGGGATTTTAAGGGACAAATATAAACTTCCACGTGTGCAATGCAAGAAACGGGCCACAAACTTTCAAAATTTCTAAAGTAGGAGATGGATACACCAATAAAGTTTCAAGAAATTTACAATTGCACAAAATCAATTCTAGATTCCAAAATCAAAATCAATACTTTTATAAGAGAGCCACAAATTTTCCGAGAAGCAAATGCAAAAAAAGGAAAGACATACCGAATGAATACACAACTTATGTAATCTTGTTTATCAAAAAAAAAAAGAAGAAAAAAACCTTATCTAATCTCGTAGCGCAGATCATGAATGAATACACAACTATCTTAATAAAATCAATCTTCCCAAATGAGTTTCCAAGAAAATAATATGCTTAATTATTTTTTTGTTAAATTATTTTCTGACGAATAATAAGTGAATTCGAAATCTCTGTGCCTCCACTTATAATTTGGCTGACAAATAGTGTAGTAATAAAAAAATTTCATAATCAATAGGAACTGTTCATAATTTTATATATAAACATTTCATTGTGTTGTATTTTAATCTCAATTTTCAAGGTTTTTTTTTCCCAGATCAAACACATTATCTTTTTATCAATATATATGTGTTTTTCTTTAGTGTATACATGTATACATTCTCACGGTTGCATTTATCATCATCCAACAAATCAAAGGGATTAATTCTAATCATGTGTAAAACCTTAAAGAGTAATCCACATTTTCTCCCAAACTTTGGGGAGGTATAGGCAATTAACCCCTTTTTTTTTCATTCTTATAAACCCAAAAAGAAAAGAAAATTGAAAAAGGAAAGAAAAAAAAATTCCTGCCGCCGCCTTTAGCTATATCGACCCGGTTATATATATATTTTGGAAGACAAAATAAAAGAGGAAGAAAAAGAAAAAAACATCTAACAGTGTCTGTCAGTATTCAGTAGTGGTAAAATCGATCGTCATCCAGTTCGATAGTAGAATCGAATTCCTTAGAATTCAGTAGAAACCAGAGCCTCTAAGCTCGGATAGAAATGGCTACAGTAGAGGTCCAGAAGAACCGAAACGAAGCAGCGGAGAGGGAAGAGAGCTGCTCCGGCAAGGGTTCCATGGGGAAGCAAGGGGAAGGTTTGAGGCAGTACTATCTCCAACACATCCACGATCTCCTGCTACAGGTCCGACAGAAAACCCACAATCTCAACCGTCTCGAAGCCCAGCGGAACGAGCTCAATTCCAAAGGTGCTAACTTTACCCTCTACCCTTTAAACTTTGAAACCCTACTATGTAGAATGATCAATCCTTTGCTCAATTGGATGGTTTCTCTATTAGTTCTGATTTGGGGCTTTTTTGTGTGTGTTTCTTTTAACATGAGTTATTATACCGGCTTTGATTTGGAAGGCAAAAGGATGAAAAGGTCTGAAGTTCCCAAAGTTTGAATGGTTAACCATAATTCTTTCTTAACAATTTTGATAGGAGTTATGATTGCACTGAATTGTGCCATTTGTAACCCTTACATGTATTTTCTAGCCTCAGAATTTCATTGCATGATAAATGACAGAAGAGGAGATACTTAACAGATAGATTTGCACATAGGCTTGTATGTTTAGTTTAACGGAGTTGTAGGTGTGAGTCCAGTAACAAAAAACAGTTCTGACCGTCGTCTATAATACTCTATGTAACATAGATAGGCTTCCCATCTGATTTATTGCTTTTATAGTTGAAAAACAGAATTACTCATATCTGTATTTGGTATGATCAGTGAGAATGCTCAAGGAGGAGTTGCAGTTACTTCAGGAGCCTGGATCTTATGTGGGTGAAGTTGTCAAAGTGATGGGGAAATCAAAAGTTCTAGTTAAAGTAAGTTCCGTTATATTTCTTTGTACTAGTATTCCTGTCGAATCTTTTACTAATGTGAATAGGTGGGAGGGTTGGGGGGACAATGTTGGGGGGTCAAAACTTTGTGGGGACGATCCATTTTTTAAAAAATATGACCTAGTTGCGTTGATTGCTACTGTGTAGCTGAGATGTAAATTCGAGTATCCTGTTTAAACACCTCTAACAACTTGCATTGTTGATGTGAAGGGGAAGAGTGAGGGAAGATGAATGAAAAACGTTAACCAAATATAATTTGTTGTATGTAATAATCTTTTTTTGGGCCCCTTTATGTGTTTCTCAATCACAATAATTTGGACTATGGTATAGGTTTGCTCTTAATGAAATTTTCCGTGCTTTGTCTGAGAACCAATGAAACTTGAATAGTTGGGGAACGAAAGATTTACTTTGCAATATTCGGTTTCGACCACTTCTCATCCTTTGCATATGACAGGTTCATCCAGAAGGAAAATATGTTGTGGATATTGACAAAAGCATCGATATCACCAAGATCACACCCTCAACCAGAGTTGCTCTTCGTAATGACAGCTATGTTCTCCACTTGATTTTGCCCAGTAAAGTGGATCCTTTAGTCAACCTCATGAAAGTTGAAAAAGTTCCTGATTCCACGTATGATATGATTGGTGGTCTTGACCAGCAAATCAAAGAGATTAAGGAGGTTTGGATCAAATTACTCTTCAAGGAATGCCCTAATTAAAACTTCTGGCCGAAATTCTAGTGGTACCTTATTTTAACTATTGCATTTTTTTTCCTTTGTATTTTCAGGTGATTGAACTTCCAATCAAGCATCCCGAGTTATTTGAGAGTCTGGGGATTGCTCAACCAAAGGTGATTTTGTGTTCACCAGCTTATTTTAAAATCAGCCATCAGGTTTTTATTTGATTTTTGATGTTCACTCTCTTTCCCTTTATGGTTTATCTGGCAGGGAGTTTTACTTTATGGCCCTCCGGGAACTGGAAAAACACTGTTAGCAAGGGCTGTGGCACACCATACGGATTGTACTTTCATCAGGGTTTCTGGTTCTGAGCTAGTGCAAAAATATATTGGGGAGGGTTCTCGTATGGTGAGGGAACTCTTTGTGATGGCAAGGTTGGTTGTCTAGCTGCTCTTGAAATACTGTTCATGAGTTACCACTTTTTGAATGCGTTCCCGTATTGGAAACTATTATCGCAAAGATTTTGATTATGGTGGGTAATGGCAAATGGGTAGAGGAATTCGCTTTTGATTTGTTCATACATTTTGGTGTAATTCTAACCTGGGTTTTGGACTAACTGTAGAATCCATTTTCTGTATTCTGGCAAATGGAGAGAAAAGAGTCCAAGCTGTTATAAGAATGTTTCATGTTAATATCTTAAATGGAACCAATCTATTTTCAATGTGATAATATGGTCTGAAATTCTAAAACTTTTACAACTGTGATAATCAATATTCTTGTCTTGGTGGATGAAGAAGAATTTTTACAGAACCTAAATGTTGTAAAATAGATTGTTGAGTTCGGACTTCGGAATTAGCTGCCTTTTGGTTAACCCAGGAATATTGAATAGAAACTGATGATTTGTGTTCATGGGCTGTTTTGTTGCAGGGAGCATGCTCCATCAATCATTTTCATGGATGAAATCGACAGTATTGGATCTGCTAGGATGGAATCTGGAAGTGGCAATGGTGACAGTGAAGTGCAACGGACAATGCTTGAGCTTCTTAACCAACTTGATGGGTTCGAGGCATCCAATAAGATCAAGGTAAATACTGAGTTCATGATGTATTTAGCATTGGTTGTAGTGTCATTCTTCATTTTTGGTGTTTAACTTGTGTTGCCATTTTGTTTTGTCAGGTTTTGATGGCCACAAATCGGATTGACATTTTGGATCAAGCCCTCCTTAGACCCGGAAGGATTGACAGGAAAATTGAATTTCCAAATCCAAACGCAGAGGTAAAGGATTTTAAGGAACAATATATTTATTTACCTTTACATTTTGTTTTTGAGTCACAAAATTTTGGTTTATCATTATTGTTGTACTGTTGGACACCTTCTTCCATTGAGTTAGGAGCTGTTCCTTTAGCTGAATCAATGTTTTAATTTCTTACAGTCTCGCTTTGATATCTTGAAAATTCATTCAAGAAAAATGAATTTAATGCGTGGGATTGATTTGAAGAAAATAGCAGAGAAGATGAATGGGGCATCTGGTGCAGAATTAAAGGTGCTACTTTTTCCTTCTTTAAAAGCCCCTTCTTTTGCTTTGGAAACTATTTGGTAATGAGTTTTAATTGAGAGGTTTCTCTGCGATATTTGATTATTTAAACTTGATTATTGTCAACATATCTCTCTGTGGAGATCATGGACAAAATGGAAGAATTCTCTTGTTCTAAAACTGCATTTGTTTGTCTTTGCACTCTATTTTGACACTAGTTATGTGCTTTCTTTTAGGCTGTATGTACTGAAGCGGGTATGTTTGCTCTGCGGGAGAGGAGGGTTCATGTGACACAAGAAGATTTTGAAATGGCTGTTGCTAAAGTAATGAAGAAGGATACAGAGAAGAATATGTCGCTGCGGAAGCTATGGAAGTAATGTGCTAAATAGATGCTGATCTGATCTACTTAGATGTGTTTGCAAAGAGTGAAAATCCGTGCTTGCCTTCACTTCTGAAGAGCGGGGTATATGAGTGTGACTTTTGGGTTTAAATGCCAGCTGCCACTTTAAGATATGCATGAATGAGTCACATGCTTGTTTTCTGCAAGTTTGTTTATTCTCCGCAGGAGAGTAGTCCCTTGACAATTATATGTAATTCCTGAGTTTTAAACCATACTGAGGTTGTAATTTCAACTTTAGCATTTGGCAGGAACTTCGAAATCAAGATGTGCTTCCACTCAGTATCATTTCTGTAGCACTGGTGACCCGTTAAGTGAGTTAAAAAATAGTCAAAAAGTTGTGTTAGTTTAATATCTCACACTGTTTGACGTTTCCCTGTAAATTGTCCCATTGTGTTGAAGGAGGTGGTGAGAACCTCAAAGGCATCTCTCGTCAACACGTAATTGCCAAAGGTCAGAATAAAATTGTTTGCAAAAGTCCACTGATTTCTTACCGAAACCAAAGCTGCCAAACCTGAGACACTGTAATAACAGTCATCTATAGATCACACCCCTGGAGTTGGACCAAAACTGGGTTTTCACCCGTCTTTGAAATCAAAATAACCATCACGGATTCAGGACAATAAATTGAAGTATTTAAACCCAAAACCTTAAATAGAGCCACAGTCTGAACACACAGGAAGTACTTGAATACCGCTTCCCTGCTAAATCTATTAATTGTCACAAATCAAAGACCCCATCGATTCATAATAATAAGGGTGACTTGCATGTTATCTACTCCAGCATTTACATAAGCTGTCGTTGACTATGTAAGCCATTCCTTGGCCCAGCCAAGCCATCAACTTGATGATGATCTCCCCACCCCCCCCCCCCCCCCCCATCTCCCTAACTAATCTTGTGTAATCAAAACTCAAAACCAAGTCCCCTAACGCATACTTTTAAACGTTGTAATGTCGTCTACTTGCGACGAATAAACACTAGTATCTAATTGCAAAAAAATTATACCACATCAACATTTGACGAGCTTCCTCTCAACGTCTTAAAAAAAATGGAGACCAAATACCGTCACCAGCACCTCCCGCGCCACCTTCAACGGATACTCTTCTTCTTCTTCTTCTTCTTCTTCTTCTTGTCGATCGCGCAATTTTTCCATATTGTTCGTGGTGATGTGGGCACTGCTGCTCGCTACAGCCCTCCTTATTCGCGTAAGGAAAATATAACTTGGTATTCTCTTTACAGCTTTACAAATATGACTATTACTTTGGGAACGGATGAAATAGTTAATAATATATTTCACGACACTTTGATTCATTCAGCGACTACCTGTTACGGTAGAAACCCATCTCAATTCCCGGCGAGCAATCTGTTCGCTGCGGCAGGGGATGGGATTTGGGACAACGGGGCGTCCTGCGGGAGGCAATACCTGGTGAAATGTATCAGCGCCTCCAGTCCGGACATTTGTGTGACTGGACAAGTTATTCAGGTAATAATTGTGGATTATGCTCCCCAGTTACCTTCCCAGCCATCTGCAACTGGAAAGACCATGGTTTTATCGGATTCAGCATTTGGGGCCATTACCAATTCAGATATCGACTCCATCAGCATTGAGTTTCTACAGTAAGTCTCTCCGTTCATTTTTATTGAGCTTTTTATACAGCAAGTTGGGTTTTTCATCACGAAAATACAGCTACAATTAATTATTAGTACTGATTGATTTTTTTTTTTTTTTTTCCTTCTCTGTTTTTTTGGTCTGGTCAGGGTATGAGGTTGGGTGATACCCCCGTCGTGCATATTTCGTCATTGGACTGCTTCACTGCTGTGCTTCTAGTAGATTGTAAATTACTAGTACAATTTTGAAAGAAGGAAAGAGGCGAAAAATATTCTTTTGACTATTAAAATCACATGAGAAATTTCCGGGAAGATTAGTTCATTTTGTTTGTGTTGGAAACTGGAAAATTCTCTTGGAAGTTGGAATGTTCCTTGTATGTACGCTGTGATTGCAATTTGCTTTGGTGTAAGGAAGCCTGTATTCATTCTGTAACCGTGATTCATTCTGCTATAGTTTGATCCAACACACTGCCCTATTTACTGCCAATATTTGGCATCCAAATCCAAATGTGGAAATCACTTTCGCTTTTATGAAAAGTTTGAAGGGTTAAGATCAAAGAGTCAGTCAAGTCAACTCACTTTGGCGTATACTAGTTTGATTAGATTAACAACCTTGCCAATTAGGAAATCGGGACACTTTTTCCCTTGTCAAGGAACATGTTTTTTTTCCGTCTCTCTTCATTTTCTCCTCCAGTCATCATCAATCATAATAAAGATGGACTATGGCAAGTACACAGCGGATTACACAAGTAAATTTTGGTTTCGCGTTTTAATCTATATCACATTATTTATTTATTTATTTTTCCTTTTCCTTCAAATTTAGTAATAACCACTCAAATTCATCAAGTGAAATATACAACAGATATATATGGTTAAAATTAAATCATCAGGTTACATCCAAAATGGTTTTGTAAAACTAATTACAAAATTATAATACAGACTTACTCGAGAATCATTTTAAACAAGAAAAATAGATTTATGTAAATATTAATTAACTCAGTCGATGGCCCAAGCCCAAAACTAAAAAGCCATACGGCCCAGTTATTTATCCCACTCAGTTAGTGGGGGGGTTGACCCATTCTTTTGGTCTACGTTTCAGTTCTCTCTCTCGTCTCTCTCTTACCTTGGTTCTCTTTTTTCTTCCCGAAGAAAAAAATACCGCAAAATACAAAACAAAACTGCTGGGGTCCAGACGGATTTACCAAACACTTAAAAAAAAAAAAAAAAACGTACGTCTTCTTCTTTCTTTAATTAATCCCACCACTTCATTTATTTCATCCCCAAAACTCTTCCTCTTTCACCATTCATTAATCATCTTCATTTAAATGCCTAGGGTTCTTGTGGTTCTTTTAATCTTCTGCCTTCATCGAAACCTGAAATTTGAATTTGAACCCATAAGAATGTGTTTTTGATTTTGTTTTCTTGGAAGCCAGGTTCAGCGATGAGAAGCGAAGTGCAGCTGGAGTCAATTGTGGACCCCAACAACCCCAGCGACTCCGATCCCCTGCTTCAACCCCAACCCCAATACATCGAGTCTCCTCCACCGTCATCACCGCCCTCGACGTCATCATCACCGTCGTCCGCGACCGCTGGTGAGATACTGAAGGATGACGCCGACGACGACGACCTAGAGTCTGGTTCTTTGCCTTCTTGTAGAATTTGCCTCGAATGCGACTGCGAAGCTGGTAATAATAAGCTTGGGTTTACTTCATTCTAATAGCTCAGGTGTACTTTGTTAAACATATTATGATTTGGTTAGCTGTACAGTTTTTTATATTATGAATGCCTGACGAGTATGATCGGTTCATGCTTTTGGTTCTTACTAATTACATTTTTTAGTATGTTATTCATTAAGTCAACTGTTGATACAGACATTTTGGTGCTGTTCTTTCTATTGGATGAATTTTTGTTGGTTCTGTTGATTGTGCAGTTTGTCTCATTCTATGTTTTTGTGATTATTTTGTGCTTCATAGATGATGAGTTGATATCTCCATGCATGTGCAAGGGCACCCAGCAGTTTGTTCATCGCTCGTGTCTTGATCACTGGCGGTCAGTCAAGGTGAGACTCGGGCTGCGTCTGTGTAGCTCTAATTTAAGGTTAAAGGATTGCTTTTGTTGATCCATTGTCGGTATGTTATTGTAGGAAGGTTTTGCCTTTTCTCATTGCACAACCTGCAAAGCTCAATTTCATCTTCGAGTGGCAGAGTTAGAGGATAACTCCTGGCGAAAAATAAAATTTAGGCTCTTCGTAGCCAGGGATGTCTTCCTTGTGTTTCTTGCTGTGCAAACTGTAAGGATACTTTTCTGATTAACTTATATTTATCTGTTGTTGAATTATTCTACTTACAAAAAGGAGTTCTTCAAAATTATCTGGACTCTCTCCTGTCACACTGTAGCCGTTGTTATTTCTATTTTCGTTCCTTGTTGGCCCGAATGGACTTTGCCGTCTATAAAAATTAGTTTCGTCGGTAGTTTCCCTCAGTTTTGTTTGAAACAATCAAATAAATTGAAAGATGTAATCATTTTTCTCTCCAATATCTTTTCCAGTGGTTAAGTTATTTGCTTTGCTCTTGTAGGTTATTGCATTCATGGGTGGTTTCGCATACTTTTTGGACAAAGATGGAACTTTCAGGAACTCATTTGATGATAGCTGGGATCGCTTACTTTCGAAGCATCCTATTCCTTTCTACTACTGTATAGGTAAGCTCAAGAATGTTGTTATAGAAAGTAAATGTGCCACATTTCACTCTTGTATTTCGTTGGATAATTCTGTCCATATATTTCACTTAGTTGACCTCTCTGTACAACATAGGCCTAGTGACAAAGACTTAATTGGGACTCGGAATGCTAAGCTTTGCGCACGTCTTGTTTAGCATATCGGGATTGCATTGATTACTATGCTCAGTGAAGTAGTAGTATATAGAACTCTTTCTTTTTCATAAATACTCAATGCTAAGGATAATCAATTCCTGGAAGCCGGGTTGATATTTTGATGACAGCTAGTTGTCTAAGGTTTTTGGAAATGTTTGAACAATTGTTGTGATTGGTGGTATTTTCTGCTTAAGGAGACAATATTATAGAGGTTGGCCTCACTGATTATTTCCAATTTGTTCCTAGTAAACTAGCATTCTTCTGTAAGCATTTATGTTATGATAGTGTGTATCATTGCTGTCTCTCTGTGTGAATGAACAGGGGTTCTTGGGTTTTTTGTGCTGCTTGGATTTTTGGGGCTCATATTACATTGCTCCTCCCTGAACAATAACGATCCATGTGTTGCTGGCTGTCAAAATTGCTGTTATGGCTGGGGCATGTTGGATTGCTTCCCTGCATCTATGGAAGCTTGCTTCGGACTCGTAATAGTTTTTGTTGTCATCTTTGCCATTCTTGGAATTGCATATGGATTTCTTGCTGCCACCTTGGCCATCCAGAGGATCTGGCAGAGACATTATCACATTCTTACTAAGAGAGAGTTGACACAGGTGATGTACCTATATGGCTATTTGGATTGTGGGAAACTTTTAGTCTAAAATAGAAGCATTATCTAGCCTATCAGCATGTGTCATTTCTGTTCTGATGATTACTGGTTGAGTCTAATTTATAATATGCGGAGATCTTCAAACACTCGTTGCATCATAGAACGGGTTATAGACTGATTATAAAGAAATATCATTCCTTTCTCGTCAATAGGTACATATACTCAAACAAACTGGTAACCAAGTAATCGGAACCCAATGTAAGCTTATTTTAGTCTTTAATCATTGTTGCAATATTGAGGTGGTAAATGTCCTCCTGTCATTTCCGTACAATGGAGCCTTGTACTCTTGTTGATTTAATGGAAACTAACCGTCCGTTCTCGTCTTCTGACCCAGACATTGATTTTGATGCATATGTACCAAGAAATTCACCTAGCAGTGAAATCTTTAGGGAAACAAATACTTTTTATGGCCGGGCTGGATTTTAGTTACCTGTACATCTGGTATTTTTTTGATCGTAAAATTTCCCTTAAATGTTGCAGGAGTATATTGTTGAGGATCTTCATGGATGTTATTCCCCTCCAAAATTGGATCCTGAGCATGAAGAACGCCTCAAAGTTCTGAAGCTTTTGTAGCAAGGAGGTTAGGTGTGTATGCATGATCCGTTGCTTTGAAGCTAGCAGTCAAAAAATGTCAAAGCTATTTGTAATCCTTGCTGATTTACCTTGTAATTTAAGGAATCTTTATGTGTTCCCTGATGCAGTTAGTTATGCTCAAGCCCAGTGATTTCTGGACCTGATAAGTAGGCTAAAATCTTCAACATGACATCTTCCTAGAATCGCGCCGATGATTGTATTTGTATGTATATGTGCATGGTTTAGTGCTCTATGTTTTGCCATAATGCCATCAGCACCGTTACAATGTGCTGATCTTGCTCCGTGAGAAAATCTGTATGTGTCAAGTGAAGTGAAAGAAAGGAAAAGAGAAGAAACATTTTGTCATACTTGTATCTTATTTGTTTCTGTCTCCTTTTACTCAAAACCTAAGAAATAAACTTTGGAATCTTCTTTCTCTACCTTCATGAGGGAGATTAAGAAAGAGTTTCTTAAAGTTTCCTCTTGATGATTTTTGGTCTTCTCAAGTTTTGTTGGTTCATACACCTGTCTACTGATTTTCACTTTCTTTATCAATTAACAGATATGAAATCATACCAACAAAAAAATAAAGTTCATCTCCATTCCTCTTGAAATTCATCTGGTGATGTATTACCTCCGTTTCTTTTTTAATTAAAAGTATTGGACATAAATGTTTTACTGTATTTCTAAGTTGTGAGGAATCCCAACAAGGAAGGGGTATCCATCATACAAAGTAGTAGTAGTCGATCATGGCTTCTAAGTTGTGGAATTTGTTGGGATTCCTCACCTTGTTTTTTCTATCTTTCTCTCACCTCTCTTCGTCTTGTCCTGATCATCATCAAAAGCAATCCCTTCTTCAGTTCAAATCCAATTTTCTCAATGCGGTAGCTTCTTCTTATTCTACATCAGATGTCAACCTCATCCAAGTTGGCAACATGGAATTCCACTTCCGATTGTTGCCATTGGGACAGAGTAGTTTGTTCCTCCACAAAACCATTCATGGTTTCTGAGCTGCATCTTGATTCCCTGACTACCGCAGTCGGCATTCCTTCCTCTGTCGTGGCTCCCCTATTTGATATAACCTCCCTAAGTTCGCTTATCATTGCTGTGCTGGTGATGGGATTTCAGGTCTTCCGAGTCCTAAAGTTGGATACCTGGGAAGTCTCATCAATTTAGATGTAAACTCAAATTCTCTTAGTGGAGACATCCCTGGGGATATTGGGAACCTAACCAATTTTGCGTCATCTCCACCTTGGTTTGAACCGCTTTTCTGGCGGAATTCCATTGTCGATATTCAACTCGACACAACTTGAAGACCTAGATTTTGAGTTTTAATCTATTGACACTGCATATTCCAGATGATATTGAGCGCTTGGCCAACTTATCAGCGTTGAGATTGAGCAATAACATGTTCACAGGTGAAATTCCGATGTCGATTCTGAACTTGACACAACTTCAGGTCCTGAAACTGACGGGGATAATCAATTATCATCTCCTTTCTAACTTGGTCTTTTTGGGATTGAGCGGTAACATGTTAACTGGGGGAATTCCAATGTCGATTCATTGAATACCTGGGATTGGGTCATAACCAGGTTTCATCACAGCAGGGAGAGATACCATCTAAGCAAGTTAATTGAACTTGCACTCGATAACAACTCACTTCAGGGAGAGATACCATTCGATATCAAGACGCTGGAGATTTTGCTTCTTGGAGGGAATAAACTGACTTGGAAACACAATAACTCCATAATATCACCCAAGTGTATGTTAAACTATCTCTCTCTGAGATCGTGTGGTTTAACGGGGGAAGTGCCTCAGTGGATTTCGTCCCAGAAAAGTTGGATTTGAGCCGTAACGAGCTCCAGGGAACATTTCCACTTTGGCTGGCCGTGTTTCCACTTGAACCTGTAGTTCTCTCACATAACAACCTCTCTGCTTCTCTTCCTCCTGAATTGTCAAATTTCCAGGGACCTTCCCCACTGGCACCAGGATTGTTTCTTTGGCAAACAACAAATTCTCTGTCTCTGGAGGAGTGCCTCGAAAATCTTAGCAGCTTGTCCCAACTTGAACAGCTCAATCTTAATGGCAATAGAATTGCAGGGGAATTCCCTAGTCTTTTAACCGAGATTCCAACGCTTCAGATTCTGAGCCTCAGAAACACATCCTTTCAAGGCCCTTTACCGAAAAACATATCCAAACTTAATAATCTCCGAATTCTTGATCTGTCCTGCTCCTGCAACCACCTCACGGGAAGCGTCCCAGAAGAACTTGGGAATCTATCTCACTGGGATGATTGAGAAGCCTACAAAAAATTCAGCCTTGAGAGGAATCTCTTGGTGGCCATACTCAAGTGACAAATCTTTATTTCGCGTCTCTGAGATCGTAGCAAACTGGAAGAGGTCCATGCTGGTGTTGCCATCAAATCCAGGCCACGATGAAATGTATTCTTTGTTGGACCTATCAATGAACCAACTCTCTGGTGAAATTGCGGCTGCCCTCGGAAATCTCAAGGAACTGAAAACCTTGAACATATCCTTCAATAGGGTGTCCGGAGAAATACCATACAGTTTTGAAGGTTTGAAGAATCTGGAGAGCTTGGACACATCACACAACAATCTCATTGGTCCAACCCCACCGACATTAAAAAACCTGCACCAACTCACAACGTTGGGCGCCAGTAACAACCACCTGAAGGGTCCAATTCCGACAGGCGGTCAAATGGATGTGATGAATAACCCAAATGATTCTGCAAACAATAGTGGGTTATGCGGGATGCAAATACAACTACCATGTCAAGTTGAGACCCTGTTTCCCCAACCCAATCTTCCATGTTTTCATGGGGTGCTTTGGTTAAAAAATTGCCTAGAAAAAGGAGTAGAGAGATCTTTTTTTTTTTTTTTAAAGCAAAATATGGAGATCGGATTTACAAAATCCGAACTACTAATTAAATTCGTAGTTCGGATTTTACGAATCCGATTTAATAAAATAATAAATTTTTTTCGGAAAATACATGTGAGAAAAGTGTATTGAAAGTCAACTAATGAACAGTAAAAGGTCGGATTTTAAGAATCCGACCTTTTTGATTTTTTTTTTTTAAATATAGGCGGGAGATTTGAAAATTAAGAACAGTACAAGGTCGAATTTACAAAATCCGACCTTATTTAAGCATACCTAACAGTAGATATCTGCATTGAATGGACGTTATTAGCGGGCAGAAGGTCGGATTCTTGAACTCCGACCTTACATGTAAATCGGATTTAGGAAATCTGATCTTACTTATAATCTCGGATTTTAGAAATCCAACCTTATTGTGTTATAATGGGATGACGAAAAACACTATTCACATATCGGGATTTTAGTAAAGGAGGCGATTTCTTGAAGGAGGAGGTGATTTTAGTGGTGATTTGAAGATTTTGTTCACGATTCTTCGCAACGGATGTCTTAAAACCATTTTACAAGAAGGTTAGTTATTGTTTTGATGTATTTAGAATTATTGTTGTTGTTTTCTTTGTAAAAGTGTAGAACTAGGATGATTTATAAGGTTTTATGGTTGATGTTGGGTGTAGTTGATGATTGTTGTTGTATACGTGGTATTGAACGTTCAATTTAGTAAAATGCTTGAATTTGGCCTAAACTTTTGAATTTGTAGGGGTTTAGTAAATTTAGTGTTGATTATGCCTTGTTTGTGGTAATTGTTATAATAAGTTGTTTGATAATGCCTTGTTTGTATATTTTTTTTAATAATTTGTTTATAATGTGTTGTAATTCATGTAATCAATAGATATAAATGACGTTTAACGGTCCATATTTCATTAATGTCTATTGCTCGAGCAAATTTGTTGTGAAGAATGGGATTGTGAATACTTTTAACAACATGCCAGACGATTCTTTTGTGATTGATCATAAGGTATTGTACAATGATTTGGTTGAATTGATTTGTGAAAGAGCAGGGTGGAATAGAGAGAACGTGAATTTGAGTCTATCGATTTTGTATGATACGATGGGCAATGGTTTAGGCGTATCGCCAAAATCAAGGACGACGCATCATTGCAAGTGTTGTATTTCCTCCCAAATTTGACATATATTGATTTGTATGTGGATTTGGAGGTGGCGGGTACTTCTAGGTCCCATTTGAAAGTAGGGACAAGTAGTGGTAGGCCGAATGTAGAGAATGTCGATTACATGGAAGATGATGATGTGGGTGGACCGTTTATGGAGGATGGCGATGACATGGAAGATAATTACGGTGAAGATGATGAGGACTACACATTGATAAGTGATCAAAGCGATGAAAACCAATCAATATCCGAAGAAAGTCGGGAGAATGATGAAGAGGTCGAAGACAAATTCGCCACAAAGGACATGCACATATATCGTTTACAGGGTACATGGGATCATACAAAAGTGGACAAGGATGAATTTCAACTTACCATGTGGGACGGGACAACTGCAACAATCGGGATAGGGACTTGTTTCAAGAATAAGGAAGAAGCAAAAAATGGTATTGCAGCGTGGAACATAGAGCAAAAGAGAGAGTTTTATGTGAAGGAAAGTGATGATTCAACATGGTATATTTGGCACAAATCCCTAAAAGAGTCAACCCCTAAGGGTTATGTTCCTTGCTGTTGGAAGGTATGTGCCTCCTTGAGAGACCAGGGTTTGTGGGAGATTGTGAAATGGGTGCCTGAGCACAATTATATGAATGTCACCGAGGAAAATAATAATCGAAATGTGAGCAACGCTTATTGCTCATCTCATAAGGCATAAGGTTGAGTTGGACCCAGATTATGAAGTGAAGCTCGTTCAGGAAGAAGTAAAAGACCGTATGCATGTCGATGTTCCTTACCACAGGGCATGGGAGGGAAGGAGAAAAGCTATCGATCTTGTTTACGGCGACTGGGTTTCTAATTTTGACATACTTCCAAGGTATTTACTTAAGTCCTATCTAATTTTTTTGATTTGTTTATAATTTAGGAATAAGAAAACGGTCGAGGTTCGCA